CCCCATCATTGGTGTCAGTGGGAGGAATTGTGCCCCATCATTGGTGTCAGTGGGAGGAATAGAGCCCCATCGTTGGTATCAGTGGGAGGAACAGTGCCCCATCATTGGTGAAAGTGGGAGGAATCATGCCCCTTCATTGGTGTCAGTGGGAGAGATAGTGCCCCATCATTGGTGTCAGTGGGAGGAATAGTGCCCCATCATTGGTGTCAGTGGGAGGAATAGTGCTCCATCATTGGTATCGGAAGAAGGAATAGTGCCCCATCATTGGTATTAGTTGGAGGAATAGAACCCAATTGAGATACAGTTTTATGTTCTGAAGTAAAGATGCTATAAACTGTTTTATATATCGGTTTTGGTGTTTAAATGATATCTGGTGCCCTGAAAGTCCCACACACCCACGACTCAATTTCTGGGATATTGGCACCCAAGTGGCCTTCAATCACACCATTTATGTTTTCCTAATTACCCCTAAAAGTTGGATCTCAAGTTTATTTCTTCTATTTTTGAGTCCAGAGCTCCACTAACTAGTTCTAAGTTTTTTTTTTTAAAAAAGAATGTCCCCAATGACCCAATCCAGTCCATCCAATCTTTATTTTTGCAATTGGTGCCCCGTGTTATTTCCAATCACTGCCAGCATAGAACGCGGAGTTCTGAACCCATCCAAGACAAGAGCTCAGAAGTAAAATCCAAGATTGTCTGGATTTGTGGCCCTCTCATGCTTCCACATTACTCTGAGGACCTTCGGGGTATACCCTGGTTGATATGTGGCTCTCCCATCCCTGGAATACTCTTCAGACTAATGTGGGGTCCCCCAGTTGACATGGAGATGCCCCTAAGAGGTGGGTTCCAAGTAGGGGTGGACTGGCAACTCATGGGGCCCCCAAGCAATAGGGGATCATGGGGTTCCTGTGTCCTTACCCAAACTCAAAAAAGCCTATGAAAAAGGTACCAGGGGAATCTCATGGGGCCCCTTACTGACCCCGGGCCCTCAAGCAGTGCCTGGTCAGTCCACCCCAGGTTCCAAACTTGATTCCTTTCTTCTTGGGTCCAGAGTTTCACCAACTCATCCAATATTTTTTTTTTTTAAAAAAATGCTCCAAATGAAAAACTCCTCCATGACCGAGGTGAAAACAGCTCAGTGTTCCACATACGCCCCCTATGTTCAGTCACGTGGTAACACAGTGGGCGTATTGTCACAGCTCTTGGCTAAGCTCTGCCCTGGAGTATGGTAGGTCCAGCAACCCCTACGCTCAGTGCGAAGATTTGTACCTTGATTCAGAACCGCGCAGCATCGTATTACCGATGATAGATTTACAGCATTGTTCCTGATTTTCTTTCAGTCATTCCGATTGTGATTTCACACCGTATGGAGCAGAAGATCGTGGTTCCTGTCTCTTCATCTCCCTCAAAACACACGATTTAATCAGTGCCGTCAGTTACATTGTTTCAGATATCTTCACAGAGACATAAAAAGGACAAAAACCTAAGTTAACCATACACGTGACAATTTCCGGTAAATTCCAACCACTTTCCATCTACTAAGAAACTCATGCACGGTCAGAAGTCTTCTCCAGAAGCTAAGCAATCTACCACCCCAAAGATCCCATCGCTGCCTGAATTCGGTCAATTGTTAAATTGAAATCGACAGTTTCAATGCTGTTGTTCATTGAAAAAATTGAATTGCAAAGGAAAAAAAATCTACGGCAATTTCCTCAAAAGCAATCAAATTGTTCAACTGGGTTTGTTCGGGCCATTTCCTTATGACCAACTGAGACTACGCATTTTTATTTTTCTATTAGATTGCATCTTTGATTTATAAAAAAATGGAATTTAAACTTTTAGTTGGTCTATCAAATTGCTACATATATGGCCAGCTTTGAGGCAGTGATTGGCAGAAGCCAGGCGACGATGCAGCCCAGAACAGCCAATGAGAGCGCCCTATTTCTTGCACTGTAATATGTCAGGACCCGATGTGGTGCTACTTCAGATGTCCTTCTGGACCCTCAGCTGCCATCTTCCCACAAAGTGAGCTGTTTTAATAACGAAATGGAGAATATTGTGGCGTCACATCGATGGTTCAAGTTCCATTCTGCATTACAGATATAATTGCTGCTTCTGGTAACTTATATAGTTCTATAGTCCCTGTCTATATCTGGAGCTGTGGATTTCTACTCTGTGTGCACTCGGGCTCACTTCAACTAACAACTTGAAGAATTTCAAAAAGATAAAATGCATTTTCTGTTTATTAAAAAAGTTGTTAATGTATAAATTATGAAAACCAAAAAAAAATGTAGGTTTGTAAAAATAAAATTAACTGGACAAAAAGAAACTATTTGATGTGCAACTATAATGATTTGAAACCAAATACTTTTTCTGGTGGCTACCATTCTGTTGGTGGCTAATTGATTAGACTTTGTCGTGGGTCCTTTCCTTTCTCCTTTCCTTCCTTTCCCCTTTCTTCCCTTTCTCCTTTCTTCCCTTTCCTCTTCCCTTTCCCCTTTCTTCCCTTCCCTTTTCCCTTTCTGCTTCTTTCCACTTTCTTCCTTTTCCTCTTCCCTCTCCCCTTTCTTCCCTTTCCCTTTCCCCTTTCTTCCCTTTCTCTTTTCCTTTTCCTCTTCCCTTTCTTCTTTCCACTTTCTTTTCCCTTTCCTCTTCTCTTTTCACTCTCTGCCCTTTCCTCTTTCTTCCCTTTCCCCTTTCTTCCCTTTACTCTTCCATTTACCCTGCTTCCCTTTTCCCTTTCTTTCCCTTTCCTCTTCTCTTTCCATTTTCTTCCCTTTCCTTTCTCCTTTTCCACTTTCTCCCCTTTCTGCTCTTTCCTCTGCCATTTCCACTTTCTCCCCTTTCTGCCCTTTCATCTTCCCTTTCCCCTTGCTTTTACTCTTTCCCTTTCCTTTACCCTGATTCCCTTTCCTCTTCCCTTCCCCTTTCTTCCCTTTACTCTTCCCTTTAACCCTGCTTCCCTTTCCTTTCCTCTTCCCTTTCTTCCCTTTCCTCTTCAATTTTCCCTTTCCTCTTCCCTCTCTCCCCTTTTTCTTCCCTTTCCTCTTTATTCCATTTCTCCTTTCCCCTTCCCTTTTCCCTTTTTTCCCTTTCCTCTTCTCTTTTTTTCCCTTTCTTCCTTTTCCTCTTCCCCTTCCTCTTTCTTCCCTTTCCACTTTCTTCCCTTTCCTCTTCCCTTTCCTCTTCCATTACCGCTTCCCTTTCCCCTTTCTTCCCTCCTCTTCCCTTTCCCCTTTCTTCCCTATCTCTTCCCTTTCCTCTTTCTTCCCTTTCCCCTTTCTTCCCTTTTCCCTTTCTTCCCTTTTTCTCTTCCCCTTTCTTCCCTTTCCTCTTCTCTTTCCACTTTCTTCACTTTCCTCTTCTCTTTCCCCTTTCTTCCCTTTTTCCCTTTCTTCCCTTTCCCCTTTCTTCCTTTTTCTCTTCCCTTTCTTCCCTTTCCTCTTCTCTTTCCACTTTCTTCACTTTCCTCTTCTCTTTCCCCTTTCTTCACTTTCCTCTTCTCTTTCCACTTTCTTCCCTTTCCTCTTCTCTTTCCACTTTCTTCCCTTTCTACTTTCTTATCTTTCCTCTTCCCTTTCCCCTTTCTTCCCTTTCCCTTACTTCCCTTTCCCCTTACCTTTCCTCTTCTCTTTCCCCTTTCTTCCCTTTCCCCTTACTTCCCTTTCCTCTTCCCTCTCCTCTTCTTTATGCCTTTCTTCCCTTTCCCCTTTCTTCCCTTTCCTCTTTCCTCCTCTTCCCTTTCCACATACTTCCCTTTTCTCCCTTTCCCCTTTCTTCCTTTCTCTTTCCTCTCCTCTTCCATTTCCCCATACTTCCTTTTCCTCTTCCCTTTCCCCTTACTTCCCTTTCCTCTTCCTCTCCTCTTATTTTTTTCCTTTCTTCCCTTTCTTCTTTCTCTTTTTTCCTCTTCCCTTTCCTCTTCCCTTTCCCCATACTTTCCTTTCCTCTTCCCTTTCCCCTTTCTTCCTTTTCCTCTTCCCTTTTACTTCCCTTTCCTCTTCCCTTTCCCCATTCTTCCCTTTCCTCTTCCCTCTCCTCTTCCCTTTCCACATACTTCCCTTTCCTCTTCCCTTTCCCCTTTCTTCCCTTTCCTCTTTCCTCTCCTCTTCCATTTCCCCATACTTCCCTTTCCTCTTCCCTTTCCCCTTACTTCCCTTTCCTCTCTTCCCTCTCCTCTTCTTTTTTTCCTTTCTTCCCTTTCTTCTTTCTTCCTTTTCCTCTTCCCTTTCCTCTTCCCTTTCCCCATACTTTCCTTTCCTCTTCCCTTTCCCCTTTCTTCCTTTTCCTCTTCCCTTTTCTTTTACTTCCCTTTCCTCTTCCCTCTCCTCTTCTTTTTTTCCTTTCTTCCCTTTCTTCTTTCTTCCTTTTCCTCTTCCCTTTCCTCTTCCCTTTCCCCATACTTTCCTTTCCTCTTCCCTTTCCCCTTTCTTCCCTTTCCTCTCCTCTTCCATTTCCCCATACTTCCCTTTCCTCTTCCCTTTCCCCTTACTTCCCTTTCCTCTTCCCTCTCCTCTTCTTTTTTTTCCTTTCTTCCCTTTCTTCTTTCTTCCTTTTCCTCTTCCCTTTCCTCTTCCCTTTCCCCATACTTTCCTTTCCTCTTCCCTTTCCCCTTTCTTCCTTTTCCTCTTCCCTTTTCTTTTACTTCCCTTTCCTCTTTCCTTTCCCCTTTCTTCCCTTTCCTCTTCCCTTTCCCCTTTCTTCCCTTTCCTCTACAATCTGTACCATGCAGCGCACTACACAGATGGAAGCCATCATCCACTGCTAACACCTTGTGATCCGGCAGAAGAGCCGCCCATACTCTGATACAACAAAACTGCAGTAGAATGCTACTGGGGTGAAACGCATTAATGAGGAGAAGTTCTCAGCAAGGACATACTGTGTGCTTTTGTGGATCAATAAAGCTTGTAGAAAGTAGTGACATCATCGGCGTATGGCCTTCTTCTACACCTATGGCATATACTGTAAGTCTGATTTATCCGATATTCATCGACAACCAATCAGAAAGTTGTTACTACTATGTTACTTTTTTGTGCGATAGTCTGCTGGAACAGTAGCTTCTGCACGGCCCCTTTGACGTCTTTGTTCCGCAGCGTATAGATGATTGGATTCAACATGGGCGTGATGACGGCATAGAAAACCGTAATGAAGCGATTGGCAGATGAATACACAGACATGGGTTGAAGATAAACGATAATACCCGTGCCATAGAAAATGGAAATCACCATTAAATGTGAGGCACACGTGGAGAAGGTCTTACGCCGTCCTTCTCCGGAGTTGATTTTCAAGATGCTTCTTATGATAAAACCGTAAGAAAGGAGAACTACCATGAAGCAGGAGGGACCCAGAATTCCCGGCGTCACGGTCAGCATGACTTCGTCAAGCGTCGCGTCCGAACACGACAGTTTGATCAGCGGGGTGGCATCACAGAAAATGTTGTCCATTTGGTTTGGTCCACAGAAGGAAAGTCTCAAAATGAAGGCAGTGTGAAAGGTGGAATGGAGGAGTCCACCCAACCAGGCGCAGGCGGCAAGCGGCAAACTCACCACCCTCCTCATGAGGACCACGTAACGTAAAGGGTTGCATATTGCCACATACCGATCGTAGGCCATGGCGGTGAGAAGAAACATCTCCGAGCTCGCCAGGACGTGGAAGAGATACATCTGCAAAATACAGTCGACAAATGGAATTCGCCTGTTGTCGGCAAGGAGGACATCGAGCAATTTAGGGACGGTGACGGAGGAGTAGCAGATATCCAAAAAGGAGAGGTTTGTAAGGAAAAAGTACATCGGTGTCTGCAGACGGCCGTCCAGCTGTATGACTAATATGATGATGGCATTGCCGAAGATGGTGGTGATGTAGACGACGATAAATGTCATGAACAGAAGCAGCCGGACCTCGTAGACTGAAGAGATACTGGACAGGAAAAATTCTGGGATGTTGCTTTGGTTGGAGCCAAAATAAGATGGATCAACTTTCATCTGTGAAAAAGAAACGAAAAACAGAACATGTGTGATGGAGGTGCTGGACTAAAGTCATCAGAGGTTCATGATTGAAGATGGTCAGGAGAAGTCAACTAAAGCACAATGGTGGGTACCTCGTGACTGGACCCATTGCACCCGTGACTGGACCCGTAAGTCTTTGAGGACCTTATATCTAAGATCCCTACCTCACAGAAAACACATATAATACATCATGTAAACATTCCAGCAGGCATGCAAGAACCATTTACACAGTGAAAGAAGAATGTCTCCTTACATGGGGTCAGTGGGAAGAATGTCCCTTACATTTGGGGGTCAGTGGGAAGAATGTCCTTTACATTGGGGGGTCAGTGAGAAGAATGTCCTTTACATTGGGGTGATCAGTGGGAAGAATGTCCTTAAATTGGGGGTCAGTGGGAAGAATGTCCTTACATTGGGGGTCAGTGGGAAGAATGTCCCTTACATTTGGGGGTCAGTGGAAGAATGTCCTTTACATTGGTGATCAGTGGGAAGAATGTCCCTTAAATTGGGGTCAGTGGGAAGAATGTCCCTTACATTGGTGGTCAGTGGGAAGAATGACCCTTACATTGGTGGTCAGTGGGAAGAATGTCCCTTACATTGGGGGTCAGTGGGAAGAATGTCCCTTACATTGGGATCAGTGGGAAGAATGTCCCTTACATTGGGGGTCAGTGGGAAGAATGTCCCTTACATTGGGGGTCAGTGGGAAGAATGTCCCTTACATTGGTGGTCAGTGGGAAGAATGTCCCCCTTACATTGGTGGTCAGTGGGAAGAATGTCCCTTACATTGGGGGTCAGTGGGAAGAATGTCCCTTACATTGGGGTCAGTGGGAAGAATGTCCCTTACATTGGGGGTCAGTGGGAAGAATGTCCCTTACATGGGGGGGTGGTGGAGAATGATCAGTGGGAAGAATGTCCCTTACATTGGGGGTCAGTGGGGAAGTTAAATATTAGCATTACCCTCATTGGCTACTTACTGAATCTAAGAGGCAGAAACTTCTCATTCCTTAATACACCCCCAGTAAGCGGTTGATGAACCCTCGGACTCCACAGAACTTGGTTCAGAAAGGCTGAGCTAAATAATGGACTTTTCAGATGTTCTCTGAGAATATTGTAGCAGAATTATCTAGAACATTTCATATGCAACATTTACATTTTGGTTTGAAAGGGAAATAAAAAAAAAAAATCTCCTTTAGATCTACCAGACTGATACAGAATGAAAGCCAACCCCAAAAGTCCACTCAACTCATATCCAATCAGAGAGGCCCTTGCTCTACACCACTGTTGGGAGATTGGAAGGAGACGGCACAATCCTATAAATCATATTACTTCAAATATTTCTTCATTTTTCCTTTAAAAAAATGTTTCTTGTGTTCAGTAAACTGGGCGGAGTCTGATGAGAAAGTAAAAATTATACTCCACGATAAAATATAAACATTCAGAAAGACCTGGAGTGTGCAGGAAAACACCAGAATCTGGAGCTGGAGAAGGTGTGAAGGAGTCCATTTGTGGTCCATCTTTATTCTCGCAGCTGTTTTGGGTCAATAATTAGATTTTTTAGTTACTATTTAATACATTTTATCTTAGATTTCCCTTTTTCCTTCTGACTCTCAACAACCATTTGCAGCTAAAGCCGAGCCACAGACGGTTCGCTGGTACAGAAGTCGGAATGTAGACCAATAAACTCATCTCTGGATTTGGTGGTCTGTGTAGCCACCTACTGAGGTTCCAGGTCAGCTTTCGGAGAGGTCTTGCCAGACATACGGCTCGGGGCACATGTGCATGCGGAACACATGGGCACGCGCGGAACACATGGGCACATCCACCACAGAAACTGGTGCCTAGTGGCCTATTGAAACCTGAGGCCTGTATGGAATCATTGCTGGATGGCCTTGCAGCTTGTATCTCTTTTAGCCGTCATCCTCCTTGACTCTGGTATTGGCCCGGCTTTCATCTGGCCCGCCTCTGGACTACTCCTACCTGTGTTATGGACCTTGGCCTGGACTCTTGACCAAGAATTTGCCTGTCGATTCTGTACGTTGTTGCCTGCACGTTGTCACCCTCAGCTCATCTCTGAGTTTGATCCTGCTCGTGATTTGGAGCCCTCTGCTTGACTGTTACCGGACTCGGTTCTCTTCTGATCTGGGTGAGGTCAGGGTGTGTCCTCATCACTGCGCTTCTGCTCACCTGACACCAGAGCTCTCGAGTTCGGTTCCATCTTCCTGGCACCTGGGCACTTCCATTGCCATGGCAGTCCCTGTCTCAACTTCCAGAGGTGCTCAGATGGGACTTGTGCAAGAGGCAACCCTCATTATCTGGAGCTCCTCATGCAGGTACATGACACTGGGATTAGAGAGGAGCGAATCTGACCAATCCGCAGATCCAATCCATCCTGCGGAGATCGTCGGGAGGGGTGACACCAAGTGTTACCGCACCGGGTGACACCAACCCTGCATATGTCTTTTTTTCACTTTGCCCTGACATGCACTTTAAGAGACTGCAGAAGATGCAGCAGTGGAAAATCAGCCAGAAGTGGAACAATTTGAGATGGCAAGGCTAGGCCCTAATATACTGGAGACAAAAATCACAGGATGGAGATTTACTTCAAGAACAGGGGACGGACTGACCATTTGGAAACACGGGCACTGCCCGAGGGCCGGGGGTCAGTAGGGGGCCCCATGAGATGCCCCTGGTACCTTTTTCATAGGCTTTTTTAAGTTTGGACAAGGAACAGGGGCCCCATGATCCCCTATTGCCGGGGACCCCATGGGTTGTCAGTCCACCCCTGTTCAAGAATGACTGCAGAGGAGACAGTGGTGTAAATCCGGGCAGCAGCAGGACAGTTTTCCTCAGGGATAAAAGGTCTAATCAGTGTATGCCTAATGCAGGGCGGATTAACCCCAAACGATTTTTTGTCCAAAAATCGAGAACGTCGTTCGCTCGGTAATCCGATTTCGCCATCAATGATTTCAAAAATTGGCCGACCGAGTCAAAAAGTTCACCCCATATAACGGCAAAAACGTCTGTTCTTTCTAGGTTGCGGCTCATGGCGCATATTCTTTTCTCAAAAACGATCGTACAATTTGACCATCATGGAGTCGAAAATCGGTTGTTTTTCAGGAATTTTCCAACATGCCCGATCACCGAAAAGGGGAGGAGCCACGAAAATCGGCCGATGCCATTGACCGCACTAACAGAGCGAAAATCGGCCGATTGTTCTTGAAAAATCGGTCGAATTCGACCCATGTATGGCCGGCATAACTTTTATTATTTGAGCTTAAGGGGTGTTGTGAATGTAAGTGATATATTGTCGTGCAAATAATAGCTCCAAGAATAAATGTTCAGTATGGAGTGAATATTGCACTTTGAGAACCTCGAACATAAAAAAACTATAAGCATAAATAAAAAAAAAATAAAAAAAAATATGTAAAACCCCCCAAAATACCACCTCTTCCCCTTTAAAAAAAAGCAAAAAAAAAGCAAAGAAAAAAAAGAAGTTTTACCTGAAAAAATGCCCTTTGAATAAATGCTCAGAAAGTAGTGAATATTGCACTTTGAGAACCTCGAGCATTAAAAAAAACTATAAACATAAAAAAAAAAAATTTAAAAAAATTTAAAACCCCCCAAATACCACCTCTTCCCCTTTAAAAAAAAAAAAAGCAAAAACAAAAGCAAAGAAAAAAAAGAAGTTTTACCTGAAAAAATGCCCTTTGAATAAATGCTCAGTATGGAGTGAATATTGCACTTTGAGAACCTCGAGCATTAAAAAAATATAAAAAATAAAAAAAATAAAAAAAAATTAAAACCCCCCAAATACCACCTCTTCCCCTTTAAAAAAAAAGCAAAAAAAAGCAGTTTTACCTGAAAAAAATGCCCTTTGAATGTACATTAAAAATCAATATTCTCCTAAAACAAATGAAAGCCCGCCAGGAATAAAACCCCACATTTTTAGGAAAAGCCTTCCTGCAAAAAAAAAAAACACCAAAACCCAATTTAAACTATAATAAAGACCCAAACAACAGGAAATAATAAACATGATGGCCCCCGAATTAATGAAACCTCCCCATAAAACAAAAGCACTTTAAAAAAAAAAAGGTCTGCAGAAAAAATACTAAAACTTTGTTATGGACAGCAGCTAAAAGTAACCTCTGACCTCAAATCGAGCACAAAAATAATTAAAAAATACAAGAAATAAATAAAAAAAAGCTCCACTAGTCAGAGCAAAAATGCAGCAAAGGGGTTAATTGTCCATATGGAAGAGAAATATATTTTCAATATATTTAGAAAAAAAATATATACATGCAACATATATTTACAATATATTGGCCTACACAAATATATTGTAACACGTATTCCAAAAATGTAAATTAAAATATATTTTCCAAAGGCCTATATTTAAAAATATGTTTTTCTAAATTTTTGAACATCTAAAAAAATGCATTTAAACATAGATTTTTAAATATACTTGTAAACGCATTCCAAATGACACTTTGATATATTGCAGCGTGTGTTTTGAATAATATTGAATACGGCCAAAATTGCAGTCTTTGAAATATATGTCAATATATTTGGGAAGAATATATGAAGAATGTATTTTTAAAATTTATTTAAAATATATTTTTCTTCCATGTGGGTTTGTGTATCCACGTGGATTTTTTCCAGATATTTTTGAACATCTAAAAAAAAAATACATTTAAACATAGATTTTTAAATATATTTGTAAATGCATTCCAAATTACTTTGATATATATTGCAGTGTGTGTTCTGAATATATTTTTAATATTATATTCACAAATATATTGAAATATATTGAATACGGCCAAAATTGCAGTCTTTGAAATATATGTCAATATATTTGGGAAGAATATATGAAGAATGTATTTTTAAAAATTTATTTAAAATATATTTTTCTTCCATGTGGGTTTGTGTATCCACGTGGATTTTTTCCAGATATTTTTGAACATCAAAAAAAAAAAAAATGCATTTAAACATAGATTTTTAAATATATTTGTAAATGCATTCCAAATTAAACTTTGATATATATTGCAGCGTGTGTTTTGAATATATTTTTAATGATATATTCACAGATATATTGAAATATATTTTTTAAATATATTGAGTACGGCCAAAATTGCAGTCTTTGAAATATATGTCAATATATTTGGGAAGAATATATGAAGAATGTATTTTTAAAAAATATATTTTAAAATATATTTTTCTTCCATGTGGGTTTGTGTATCCACGTGGATTTTTTCCAGATATTTTTGAACATCAAAAAAAAAAAAAAAATGCATTTAAACATAGATTTTTAAATATATTTGTAAATGCATTCCAAATTAAACTTTGATATATATTGCGGCGTGTGTTCTGAATATATTTTTAATATTATATTCACAAATATATTGAAATATATTGAATGCGGCCAAAATTGCAGTCTTTGAAATATATGTCAATATATTTGGGAAGAATATATTAAGAATGTATTTTTAAAAAAAATGTTTTTAAAATATATTTTTCTGGAGCTAGCAATCATAATTAAAGTCCATTTTCTTAATGTTCCTTTTTGCAGTTTGTTAGCCTTCCTTATCCCCGGATGTTGTCAGTCAGTATAGCAGTGGATGGTGTCAGTCATAGGGCAGTGAACTTTGTCAGTGGGGCAGAGGTTGGTGTCAGGAGAGCTGTTGAGGGTGTC